CAAGCTACCAGTATGAACTAGTCCCAATATTTTGTTTGAATAGCGTTACCCGTAGAGTCAGGTAAATACACACGCTGCCTTGTAAAAGAGAAGAAGAAGAAAGCCAGCAAGCAATTTAGGCCGGGTCCTTGGGAGGCAGCTAAACAGCCATTTTTTAAAGGCGCTGAGTCAGGAGGGAGACTCCCATCCTTCCTTTTTAATCCTACTGCAGCCCCAAAGCCAGGCACCCCCCACACACACAACACGCCCCGAGGGCAAGCGCACAGCCTTCCACGCTGCCAGGGGCCACCAAAGCCCTGGGCCAAGCCACGCGCAAAGGCTCCCGCGCTAAGCCCCGCGGACACACACGCTGCCCAGGGCGACGGGGACCAGCCGCCGGCCCGGAGCCAGCTGCGCGGCGAGGGGCTGGGATCCAAAGGGCGGAGCGGGGCATTCACCTGCACGCGGCGGGGCGCGGGGGTGGAAAGCGATTTCAGCCGCACAGACTGGGGCGGGCACAGCCCGGCGCTGGGGGCAGCGCTGCGGGGGCTGCGCGGGGGTGGGGAAGGAGGGGAACTCGCCTCCCCAGGGGGCGGGCACGAGACGGAGGCAGAGCGGGGAGGAGCCGCGGGGCTGGGGAGTCACCTGCAGACGGTGATCAGGTTCCTCCTCTCCACCGCCGCGTTGCGGGACTGGACGCTCTTCCTACGGGCCGAGACGTTCAGCCCCCCAAGGCTGAGGGAAGCCATCGCCGCGGAAGGCAGGTGGAGCCGAAGGGGCTGGCGCGGAGCCTTTGTTCCCGGCCTCCTGCTCTCCGGGCTGCCGCCGCCGCCGCCACAGAGGAGGATGAGGCCCCCGTGTCTCCCTCGCCTGGTGCCGGTGTCCGAGCGGCAGGTGTTGCTGTGCATCCGGCCGGCGCAGGGAGGGAGCCGGGGTCCCCCGCCCTCGGCAGCCGGAGCAACCGCGGCGCTTTAGAGTCGCAGCTGCCAGGACCGCAGAGCACCGGCTCCGCCAGCCAATCAAAAGGCAGGAGGAGGTGGGGTACAGGGCGGCAGATGCTTTAAAGGGGCGCGTGCGCTTAACGGAACCAACTGTCAAGTGCGCGAAGATGCGGCGTGGGGCGCGTGGGGCATTCGGCGAGGAGGCGGAGCCGGGACACCGCGGGGGCGGGGCGTCGGCAGGAGGGAGGTGCGGGCTAGGAGGGGCAGCTGCCAGCAGAGAGTAGGGAGGAGAGGCTGGGGGAGGCAATGGGGGGAGCGAGCTCTAGGGCAAAGACACACACACATCCCAGGTGTGAAATATGAAATTCCTCATTGGCCCTCAGTAGCCTTGAGGAGCTGCCCTTGCTGCTGGTGATTTTAATTGCCCAGCTGCTGCTGAGGCAGAGGCTGTGCCAGGGCACATTCTCCCAGTCTGGACCCCCCCACTTCCAGTCCCTCCCTGGGAAGGCCAAACTGGCCCTGCTCAAGTGAACTGCCTACTCTGTTCTGTGGATCTGCAGATTTCCCTCCCCACTGCTATTCACTGCACAACCCCACACATCTCTGTGCTTCCCACGGGTAGAGCCCCGCACAGGTACAAAATTTGAATCTGCATCCGATCTGCAAACATGGTGAAAAATACATCCGAGGATAAGGATATCCATGGATATAAAGTGGACATCCTCAGATTTGCAGCTATTTAGATATAAAATTTGGATCCGCATCCATCCACAATCTGCAAACATGGTGAATGATACAGCCACATCTGTGACTATAAAGTGGATATCCATGGATTTGCAGGGCTCTACCCATGTGTGGTTCACCCGCTGTCAGGTAGAGCCATGGCATCAAGGCATGCCTCTGGGACAGAGCCCCTGAGGTGCTCGGTCATGGTGTGCCAAGGACCCTGGTGGTTGGTTCTGGGGAATTACCTGTTCAGACAAAGCTTGATGGGCCAATATCCTTTGGAGTCCAATCATATGGTTGCTACTCTGGATGCAGTTGTTAGTGATCAGTCCAGACTTTAGTTCATTGATGATGATTACTCAGAGAAAGTTGTAGGCCTATGATACAAGCAGATTCACACACTCTTCTATATACCCACTGCAT